TAAATGCGTTGAGTTGCTGCCATGTGATTAGTTGGTTAGAAATTTCCATTAATGAGCAGTTGGACAGGTGTACCTAATAAAGTGGCCAGTGAGTGTATATCACTTTTCATAATAAATGTTGTTCTAAAGTAGCTTTACCAAAAGTGCTTTATTACATTACAATCAAAAGGAGTACACTCTCATATTGTAAATAAAGGTTCAAAATCAGGGTGGTACCTTTTTTTTTAAAGGAGCACTTTTGTTCCTTACAGGTGAACATTTGTACCTTAAGGTTACACTTTTGTGCCTTTAAGGTACTATAAGGTAGACATTCATAACCTTTAGGAATTAATATGCACCTTTAAGGTACAAGTGTGGACCTGTAAGGTACAAAAGCATACCTTTCGGAAAAAAAGGTACCACCCCAGTGACAGGTTTTGTACCTTTAACTCTGATTGTAGTGTAAACAGCATAGCTGTCAAGCATACATACTTAATCTACAGTTATACAGTCTAATGTAGTTTTTTAAAAAGGTGACATCTATTCTGTTTTCATAATGTGTTTTAGTGTGTTTATGATGAAGTGTCTGGTGAATATAGAGAGGAAAGAGTGGGGTTTTGCCCAACATGTGGTTTATCAAATCCACTCACTACTGAGTAGCAATGTTTTTGAGGTTTTGAGTAAAGATAGGGTCGGTTTTACCACATCAATTTGAGTCAGGCAAAGTTACAGTACTGCTAAAACTAAAGAATTTTACTGTCAACTGTTTGTGCAGAAGTAAAACTGGAAGTACTGAAGATGACAGTTCTTTCTTTAGGAGGCTGCAGCTCCATTTGCCATGCACTTTATTATTTGAAACTTTGCCAAACCTTTACATAAACAAACAGCTATTCGACTTTAAATGTGATACCTAAAAAAACACAGAATAGGGCCACATTAGGGTTTAAATGGCTTTAGAATTAACTTGGGTAACTCATCATAACTCATCCCACATGAACTCAAATTTTGCAGTTTTTTAAGTAGAGGTGTGATGTTACTTTTGAAGCAAGCAGGTCATATCTCATGATACATATTGGAGCAGTGTGTTGTAATGAAACCAATTATAAACCACTCTTAGCAACCACCTGGCAACATTCTAAAAAGAACTCATAACACCTTGACCACATAGCAATGTCATGGTAACCATAACACACTCACAACACAACTGGTTTCAACGCGTTTCGGGCTCTCCTGCATCAAGAAATAGCCTCCCTCTATTTACTACAAAAATCACAGTGTAACATTTCAATCTATGCTCACTCACATTGGCACACAGGAAGCTGTGCCGAAAGCCAGGCACCTTCCTCAAGTTTTAAAAATAGACTGTAATTACATTCCAGAGCTAAATTAAAAATAAATGATTTCTGGTTTATTAATGGCCTACTCCGATTCACTGCAGCTATTCCTCATCCAAAGGAGCACAAGCACACACACACGTCTGTCATATTCTGGCACACAGCAGAGCTGTTTGTTTTCTGTCGGTCTGTTTATTTGTTGTTTGAGAAGCGTTTGTGACAGATTTGTCTCTGCACAAGTGTGCTGATGTCAAGCACTCAACCTTGTCATACCAATCAACACAATCGCACAGAGAAATAGGCCAGAAAGAGGGAATGCAGAAGATACAGAGTAAAACCTCACATGAAAGTGTCCCAAAAAAGCAAAAAGACAAAAAGTATAAAAGAAATTGTTTAAAAGCTTATAGCTGGTCCAGGTCAAAGTACTGAAAAAACTCATGTGTGGCATAAAAGTCAAAGATTTACAGAAAACTGCTCTGGGTAAAAAAATATGAGCACATCTGAAATAGCTTCTTTAATATCTCGCAGAGTGATTCTTTGTTGATTTCTTGCTTTTGTCCACCTCACAAATGAAAATGTAGTCGTTATTTCCTCACCTCTATGTCATTTTCAAACCTGTAGGGCTTTTTTTTCTTGACTGGTACATAAAGGAAGGTGAAAGTGAATAGAGATAACCCTTTTCCACATACAATCACACCGGTGTGATCAACCTTGGCTGGTCCCTGAAGTGTGATTAGAACGTTCAGAGTGCACGTCGTCAACTGCTAAATTTCAAATCTGATGGCACACGTTGAGGCACAAAGTAATGCATCGCTTGTCATAAATCACGATTTATCAGCGCTTTCAAACAAATAGCATTTATTTTAGGGTTCAGACATTCAAATACACAACTACAAGCAAAACATACCTTTTTCTTTTTTTTAATTATTTTTAGAGGGTTTTCACCTTTAAATGTACAGGACAGTGGAGGTTACAGACAAGAAAGTATTGGGAGCAGAGAGAGGAGAAGGGTTGACAAAGGACCTCGAGCCGGCAATCAAACTCGGGTCGCCATGTCGGCGCACTTAACCATTAGTCTATTGGCACTGACAAACACACCATTTAAGGTTTGTAAAATACATGCATGTCTGTGGAGATGGGATGAATAATTATTATTCAATATTACTGGACAATGTGATTTGTTCATGTAAGATACACATGGTTTATGTTACTAGAATATTTTCTAACCTTCATGTATTTCAGAGAAACAGAAGTTAACAAGAAGTATTAATATAACTTATTAAATTACACATTAATTGTATTTTATTAGCATCTACCCCTACCTCACGGTAATGTAAAAATATCATTTGTTGTACAGTGCCACAAAAATTATTTTGTATTGATGCGAGTATCCTGAGCTGTATCTCATCTGAACTTGACCGGAGCAGGTGAAGTCTTAGACGAGATAGAGCTGTGGATATTAACGTCAATATAGCATAATCTAATAACAATATATCTTTTATTAGATTATGCTATATTGACTTGAGTATCCTCAGCTGTATCCAATCTAGCTATCTAATTTAATAAATAATATAAATACTTCTCATTAACTTCCGATCTAAGCTATATTCCGTCTGGCAACAACGATAGCGCACATTACCCATCAAATAACAAATAATACGATCATTATTAAGATGTTTAAAAGACAAAATATCGATTCTATCACATATTGGGGAATCGGAGTATCAGAAATTTCACAATATAATTTACAGAAAAGGGCAGAATGAAACAAAATATGACATATGAATAGATAATTGGGGCTGGTGGGTAATGTGATTAACTTGACGCATCACCATGAGAACTTTAGAATGCAATCGATTTTAAATTTGATCTAATCCACGTCCTAACTCTAACAGAGGGAGCATTTCATTTGTGAATGCATCTGAGTTATAAATGATTCACTTAAACCATTGATATATCTGCGTCTCAATGTGCACATCCATCTTTCTGATCTAAATGGTATATAACACATGTAATATCTAATACTTTAGGCTGGACAGTATGCACATTGAGGCACAGGCATTGTTGTGTTATCAGGCACCCTTATAAGTTACTTCAAAATCTAGCCATTACTTCACCTAGCCAACAATAATAAAAGTTTCTAGCACCGCAGCATCTTGTTGTAATACAGGCATGTCCAAACTCGGTCCTGGAGGGCCGGTGTCCTGCTGAGTTTAGCTCTAACTTGCTTCAAAACACCTGCAGGAAGTTTCTAGTATATCTAGTCAGAGATTGATTAGCTGGTTCAGGTGTGTTCAATTAGGGTTGGAGCTAAACTGTACAGGACACCGGCCCTCTAGGACAGAGTTTAGACAACACTGTTGTAATAATTTGTTTACGTTATTTACTGATTTCACTCAACAAAACTAGGATAAGCCTAGAATTTAGTGCAAGTTGGTGCTACTTTGCCTTATGGTAAGGGCAGTAAGTAACTGTATTGTCATCAATAACGTTCGTAACGTACAAAATCATAAAAAAAAGAAATCTTACCTATGAAATATTCTGCCTTTGTGCTTTGTTTTCTTTGTTTGCTCGTTACTGCACCCATACACAGCGCTAAAATCCAGTATCTTCACACTGGCTTTAGTCTTGATTTAGTGCGGTTGAATGACTTTTGTACTGAAAGCACTGTGCAAATATGACAGCAGTATTATTGACACATGCTCAGGGTCCGTATGCAATATCTAGAGTATAGATCTATGGTAATGGTTGCAAAATTAAAAATTACGCAGGAGGGTCAGCTGGAGTATTTAAAACTCATGCATGAAAGGGTTAAAAAAAAAAAAAAAAGAAACGTAAGAAAAAAGTTTTAATCCAACGAGAAAATAAAATCAGATAAATTTGGGACAATTTGAGAGTAAATAAGGGTGCTTTCACACCTGCCTTATTTAGTTTGTTTGAATCGCACAAGTTTGTTTTCCCTTTTGGTGCGGTTCGTTTGGGCAGGTGAGAATGCAGCAATCGTACTCAAGTGCGCACCAAAAGCGGACCAAATAAGCATACCGAGACCTGCTTGAAGAGGTGGTCTCGGTACACTTTCAAACAAACCCTGGAGCAGTTCGTTTGTGGTGAGAATTTGATCCGTACTAAAACAGGTCCAATCGTAAAAAGTACTGCGCCTTTTGGACTAATCCAGCTGCCGTAGGCCAATGCTCTGTGCGATATGGAGGAAAAATATTTGTTGACAGCGCTTTACCAACAGAGAGAGAGAGAGGGGAAAACATTACCTGATGGATCGTTGGTAATATTTCCGCAAGATGACCATGTCGCAGTTTAAGTTCAAGTTAATTCACGTCTCCTCCTGAAGATACAAGCGATGCATTAAAACACTGTTTTCCAGCCGCAGCCACGCTTCATTCTCGAAATGTATAGTTTGTCTAAAGCAGGCATAAAATTAGTCAGTGCAGTCGTCCCTCCAGAATAAAAACGACATTTTGTGTCTGCCGGTTTTGTTTACTTGTGGGAGTTTGTTGGCATTTTCTCGCTTGTGAATTCTAACCAATCAATAATCAGTTTAGGAAATATGTTAAACAACATCTGGCCAATGAGAGATGTGGATTTTGTCAGATGACTGCGTTTGGTTCGTTTCAACTGGTTCGGACCAAAGCCAGCAGTGTGGTGTGAAAACGATCCAAAGACGGCAGAAAATGCAACAATGTATCATTTATTGCGCTTGGTCCGGACCAAATGAAGCAAACTACAGATATGAAAGCACCCTAAAAGATAATTTTTGGTTAAATTGTTTGTTTGGACTATAAAAAGAAACATCTGTACAACTTTCAGCAGTCTTTTAAGTAACAGATTCTTTCTGAGTACCTATAATCCAATGTTATTCAGGAAGTCCTCAGAATCTGCTTCTTGAAATCTTACATAGATGGGCGGAGCCTCTGCTTCCTCGACCAATCTTCTCTCCAGGGCGGCATCCTCTGTGCTAAGCTTCTCCCCTTTGGTCAGAACATACAGGAAGTAGTGAAAGTTGCTACCGTAGTGATAATGCTTGATGGACCAGTCATACTCCGCTTGAGCGTAGAGTCTCTTGCGGAAATGTGGCTGTGCAAATGTGACGGAGATGAAGCGTCCTCCGGGTTTCAACACACGACTCACCTGTGGAGCAAAACAAAGCACCTGCTTAATGTTGCTATCATGAGCACTGCTTGCACTTTTAATATATTATATGACTTTCAAATAAATATCAACATTCTTATTGATCCGTGAATTGGCACGATATATTGGCCATATCGCTTTCAGCTGTTAAATGCTTATTTTTTGTGTTTGTTATCAAATGTGTGTTTACTAACTGTAGCTCAGTAGCAGTGCTGTTTTTTTAAAAACATTTAAAGGTGCAATATGTAAGTTTCACACCAAGTGATTAAATCGTTGACACCAACGGGAGTGTGCCTGACTTTTGAGCCTAAAGGCTGATTTAGGGCTGATTTAAGTCATATTTTAAATAAAAGCAATGGCACGCAATAAAAGGATTTTTTTTTTTTCATATTAAAAGAGTTTTTGTTCAAACCAAAACCTGAAATTTCTATTTTATTTCTTGCAGCTGAACAACACAACAAACTGTGATCACCTCAGGTACAGCTCATGTGCTTTATTCAGTGTTAAATGCTTATAATGTGAGTTTAAATGCTATTTCACATGACATGTATTGCCATACTACTGAAAGCAGGAGCAGATAGTTCACCTCAGATGTACCTCATTAAGCATGTACATTTAATTATGTTAAAGATGATTAATATGCATTAATTCAATTATAAACCTTATGACTTTGTTAGAGTGCAGTGAGTGCACTATTCTGTGCTGCTGAATGGCTGTATTTAAATTTGTGTTGTGTCTGGTGCAAACAGTCAAAATGCTCATCACTGCATATCCACTCACGTAGTGTTGTTAGAACACAAGGTTACAATGTAACCTGCTCACCTAATGTTTACATTCATAATATTTATATTATTTGCTAATTAACAACCTCGTGTGGAACTCTGAATCTGCGTCTCATTTTGGAGCGTGCTACTGTTGGAGGTCGCATTTCAGTCACAGACAAACACTTTAAGAACCTTTCTGACTGAATGACTGAAATATGATTTTTTCCAGCAAGGCAACCCTGGGTGCTGAAATATAATTGGCTAAATTGCATTGGGCGGGTTAAAAAAAACCAAAACAAAGACAACGTTTCAGCACATAACGCAGATTTTCAAAGCAGAATATCTTTAGGATTGCTTTTCAGATAAACAAGAATGTTTACTTGGCATGTTTCTTAAATATCGGCAAATGGCATTTTTATCCTTTCGAAGGAACTTTCTGAGCGATGTGTGGAAGTTTATTTTGAGTGTGCATATTTGGATATTTGGATTTTTCACATTTTCAGGATTCTCAATAGCAGAAGGTGCATAGTTGGGTAAACTTATAGAACAGTCAATGGTAGAGTAAAAAAAATATTTTTTCAGTCCTATTTGGTGAAGTTAAAAAAAAAACTCCACAATGGTGTTTTCAAGACAACAAGAAAAAGGAAAAAAAAATTATGCGAGACTGATAACGGCAGCCAGAAGAGAGAATAACACCAAATTTACTGTCCTGCCCCATGCACTCTGCATTAAAAAAGTCTCGCACAAGCGGTAATTTTTTTGTCATTTGATGCAAAGATGATATCATACATACATAAATACATATAAATGTTTCTACAATAAAAAAAATATATATTAAAAACTTTCAAGGATTTAAAATGCCAATGAATGTTAAATGCATCATAACAGTCTCGTGAAAAGGGTCCATCAAATATCATGTGTTCGTGGTCAGATTTAATAAGTTTAAAGGGGCAGTTCACACAAAAAATTTAATTTACTAATTTACTGTCCATCAAGTGGTTCTAAACCTTTGAGTTTTTTTTTCTTTCTACTGAACAAAAAAGGAGGTACTCTGAAAAATGTAGAAACTGGTATCCAATGACTTCCATAGTAAGAAAAAAAACACTATGAAAGTCAATTTACATCTTACAATATTCCTCAGAACATCATCTTTTATGTTAACAAGAGGAAAGAAATTTAATCAGGTTTGAAATAACTGGAGGATTTAGTTTTTGGCTGAACTATCCCTTTAATGACTGCTTGCTGTATAACATCATTAAATATTGCTGACTTTCTAATGGTGGTGTATGTTTATGTGTCCATGAGCACATACTATATTTTCAGTGTTTGTGTCAGTAGGTTTGTGTGCTCGAGTGTGAGCATCATGTGCTTCTGCCACCCATTCTTCATCTGCCTGAAGAAATGAATAATTCACACCTTCAGGTGTCAACATGGAGAGAGTGTGAGAGAAGACAGAAACAGAAAGAGTAACTTGCAGACTTGTAATGTAAACTTCTATAGAAATGAGAACCAATAAAGAAGATGTTCCTTTCTCCCAGTTTGAAACAGCATTAACCTGTGATCAGTTTACTAGAAAACATTGTTTTCATGTTCCTTAACTAATGATTTAGATTCTCAAAGGCTTTTATTGTTCTGTTGAATACATTGTACTAAAATGCAGATCTTCCCTTGCACTGGGTCACTTACAACTGAAACACGGCAAGATTCATTGCGTCAGGTTTGACGTCAACAACACACTTCACAAGCAACATTTGGCATCATTGACGTCAAAGCATGTAACATATAAGCCTTCATTTCAGATGACAGAAGGAAAATATTCACAGATTTGGAGGACATTTGGACATGATTATTTTATTATATTTTCAAATAATAAATGGGTAAGACAGGATTGATTGGACAAATTATATGACAATGCGACATTAAGTACAGGGTGGGGCTTCATTTTGCCCAATAACAAACTAATAAAAAAGGAGCGTGGTTAAGAATACTGTGGTTGAAGCCATCAAACTGAAGTCAACAAAGAAGAACCACGACACTAAATGCAGAACCAAATGCGCAGATTTTTGATTGAAGATTATCAAAACTTTTTTTTAGTAGATTAATTTGCTCAGATTAATTTTTCCTAAATAATAACAATGTGCGCTAGCAAAATAAACATTGTAAATGTTGATTTCATATGGATTTTTAATTTTCTTCTAAAATTAGTATTTTCGATCCGGTATTCACTTTTATAGCAATGAATGGGTTGTTTTCATTGCCTTTAAAGTAAAATAAACGAACATGAGAAAAATAGGCATTTTAAAGGAACATTTCTGATTGCTTTTGGGGATTTTGCATCTGAAGTCTTTAGTTGTTTGACTAGAAGTCATTTTATTAGTTGTCTTCTGTAAATAATGGTGAAAATGAATGTCATTCTTTGGGCTCAGAAAAAAAAAATTGGCTGTACTAAACTTGAATTGTTTTGATGTTGGATTTTTGTTCATATATGATCCACAGATTTAAACAAAAACAAACAAAAGCACACAACAAAACTACTACATTTTCAAAATGTAGTACTAGTTAAGCATGTGTAAATGTAAATAATCTAAAAATTAATTATATATTTTAGAGTATATGAAATGACACTACAACATTTCATTTGTAAAATCCCCCAACACATTTTTGCTTCTCTTCGCAGCACGAAACCCACAAAACATGACACTAAACAGTTTCTCCCGGGTGAAGTGCCAGATCTGTAGGCGAATCAGATGATCTCAGCTCGCCGTTAGCAGCTGATGAGACTAATGATCAGGTTTATTGATCTCTCTGTGCTTCTGATTAATGACCCTCCGACACCCACTTGAAAACCCAACTAGACTCAAGGTGAACACTAAACCCTGGATCACACACAGCCTCATGTACTGCCACACGTCAATGTACCTTTAGTGTGTTGTTGTTGTTTTGTTTTGTTAAACTTGGAAAGGAGCTTTTTAAGACAATACCATATGAATAAGAAAGAAACACAGATGATGTTATGTTTCAATATGCAAATGAGGCCTTGTTTTAATAAATACACTGCAAAAAAATGCTTTTCTTAGATTTTTTGTGTCGTTTCTAATTCAAATATCTAAAAATTCTTAAATAAAAAGCATCTATGAGACAAGTGAACAATTCTGCCTTGTTTTAAGAAATAATATGGCAAAATTAAGTGAGTTTTTTCCTAAAACAAGCAAAATAATCTTCCAATGAGGTAAGCAAAATAAACATATGTTAAAAGGAAAAACTCGATTGATTTGCTTACCCCAATGGCAGATTATGTTGCTTGTTTTTAGGAAAAACTTGTTTAATTTTGAGAATATTTCTTAAACAAGACAAACTTTGTTTGCTTGTCTAGATAATGCTTCTTGTTTTAAAAAATGTTAGATATCTGGACTAAAACCAAGACAAAAAAATCTAAGTAAGAAATTTCCTGCGGAGAAAGAGAATACAGGTACTTAACTGGACTGGCTGCAGTCCCGAACTGTCCCCAATAGAGAAAGAGTCTCTACTGCAGCTTCTTTAAATTAGACAGAAAAAAAAACACTTCATGATAAGCCAAAAATCTCAAAATTGGCAGCTGCATGAAAAAAAATAAATAAATCAAGCTTCTGCCTTCAGTGTCTCGCCATCATAAAATCTGACCTTTTCTGTGGCATTACTGGTGTCATTATAGTAATCATCCTGCTCCACTTAGTGCATATGATAATGTCAGCATCACACAACAATTACATCTAACCTGAAGTTCAAAACACTCTGCTTAATGCTGAACAACAACACACTGGGTTTAGTCAACCCCCAAAGCCATCATTAAAGAAACTCAAACCTGGTCATTTAAACAAGAGACAAACATTTTACCATCACAAGCATTTAATCATTCATTTATTTCCCTTTAGCTTAGTCCCTTTACTTATCAGGGATCGCCACAGCGGAATGAACTGCTAACTTGTCCAGCATATGTTTTACGCAGGGGATGCCCTTCCAGCCCAACACAGTACAGGGAAACATAACCACTCACATTCACACTCAAACACTACTATTCTCCTATAGCACATGTCTTTGGACTGTGGGGGAAACCTGGAGCACCCGGAGGAAACCCATGAAACCCAACACGGGGAAAACATGCAAACTCCACACAGAAATGCCGACTCACCCAGCCAATCTAGAACCAGCGACCTTCTTGCTGTGAGGCGACAGTGCCAGCCATTGAGCCACCGCGCC